ATGTCCATCACATCTTATCTCCTACATATTGAAAAATAAAACCAGTCTCTCCCTCCTGAGAGGCTTAATCCTCTAGACAGGATTAAGTCTATCAGTCAACGAGCTCCCCTGGAGAGAACAATCCAGCACTGGCTGGGTGATAACTGAGATCGTATCAGCAAGCGATCCTAGTGCTTAGAGAGAAAATAGAGAGCACAGGCAGCCTGAAGGTAGGAGAGCATTTTCTGTTTTTAGCTTTCCTAGTAACACACGGTGGCATTTCAGGCAAACCAGCTCCCATTTTCATGCCTTGTTAATCTCAATGGTACAATCAGAACGAAGCCGGGCTCAGCTCTGGTTCTGGCTTCTCTCAGTTCCCATTGACTGTAATTACAGGCAAATGCCTTTAATTGTCTTTGCAGCTCAGGTCCTAGGCACCTCGAACGTGGCACCCAGGACTAGAAGACACTTTGGAAAAACAGACTGCAGCCAATGCCTGTGTCAGAGACAAGGCATTTCTCCCAAGTCATTTGGCAGCATCTCACACTCTCTGGCAACTGCCTCAACCCTTGCGCTTGGCGTTTTTTTTACTGTCACCTTGTAGTGGCTGTGAACTCCTGCACCTGTACCCTTGTTCTTGTCAGCTTGCAGGACTGCCAGCCTCACCCAACACAACTGAGAACAAACAGGCTTCTGCTAAGGAGGAGACATGATGCTTCTCTGCAGCACCTTCGTGGAGAGTATCTGTAGCACAAATAGCTCTTTTGTGTTGGCCTAACCTATGGCAGGATGGCTGCGCAGGTCAGCCAAGCCTCAAACACTGCTCGCCTGACAGATACAGCTTTGCTCTGTAAGAGGAGTGCCCTCTGCTGAAATAACAGGAGAAAATGCTTTGCCTGTTGTAGGACTGTCTCCTGCATGCAATGAGCACATTGCCTCACAGATCACAACATGGGACAGATCACAACCCAAACAACAGGCCAGTGGATACAGTCCATTTAATACAGTTAAACACAGAGGGACCACAACAGCAAAACAAGATAGACTGAGGCATGTCAAGTGGGCAGGAATGAAACAACAGGCAGAAGAATGCGTGGACAGATTTAAGACTGCAGAACCGTAGGTGCCACATCTTTCCAAGACACAGAGCCACCTTTTTCTCCGTGCAGGACAAAGTTCTGAGGTCTCATCTCTGGTGGCCAGGAGGCTGGAGAGAGGTACCTGGAGCTGGAGGAGCTGCCCTCAGCATGGGCAGTGCTCTCAAACAGGAGCACACTGCCCACCTGCGAGGAAAGGAGCAGCCACCCCAACCGCTCCATGCTGGAAAGAGGAACCCCAGTGCAGAGGAGGGTTTCAGGGCCAAGTTCCAGACCAACGAATGTCACAGCTGCCTCAGTGCAACTCACCAGTCCAGCTTCTCCTGCCCAAAAAGCTAGGGAGCCCCACCAGCAAAGATGAGCTCCAGGGCAGCCTGAATGTCTCCTCCAGTGGCCTGCAGGGCACGGAGACTTAGCTCATCATCATGTATGCCCATGTCTCGCAGCTGCTGAAGCTGTGGTTGCCACTGGCTCTACAGACAGGAAACAAAAGAAGCTAAGGGTAGGTACGGGAGTCCAAACAGAAATAAGACAGCCTTCTCCACAGCCCACTCTTCCACGCTGCATTCTCCCACCTCTCTAGCTCACAAGAACAACGCTAAGTGTGCAAGCAGATCCTGAAAGCTCAAAGTCTTGCTGCAAACCCCGCCAAGTCCACCAGCCCACCCCTCCTGCTTCCACCCAGTCCTTTTGCAGCAGGATCATGCCTCCTGCAAGCACCATTTCTCCACTGATGCCCCTTTCAGCTTAACGTCCTGCCACAGGAAGCGGCTGGAAGACCCACCTCCACCTTGCAATACTGGATGGGAGATGATGTTTTCACAGGCTCTCAGAAGGAAGAGGCTGAGACACTGACCTGCAGGCTGGGCTGCCCTGAGGCCTGCAGGGCATGCTGTAAGGCCTGGCTGAAGAGGTCATTGGTGATGGGTGTTCCTGACTGGACACTGGATGACATCGGGGAGGTCCCAGAGGAGTGACCCTAGGAGGAAATAAGTTGCATATGGATTAGGAGAACTCTTACCACAGGAACCAGAGCCAGCAGAGGCTGTATCCCCACTATCATGCTTCCCCAGGCCCATATGGAGACCACCACAGCTGTAAGAAGTTAAAACAGCAAGGGCTCCCAGATCTGAGCAGGGCTCCTGCTCGGTCAAGCATTGGTTTTATGGCCCAGGAGTATTTTCTCCCCAGGTGCTGCGCTGCCCTTGTACCTGGGTGCCAGGGGTGGGTGTGTGGGAGCTGCTCTCTGGGGTGCTTGCCAGTGCCAGGGCAGTCGCCAGCTCGCTCTGCGTGATCGGCCGGGGTCCAGCAGCCCCGGCGTAGCCAAGGGAAGCTGGGCGAGAACCAGAAGTGCTGCTGGATGGTGTAGATCTTGTGCTCTGCAGGGAGGGGAAAAAACCCACCTCTGATGTTGGTGTCCGTGTCCCAGTAAAATCTGTCTCATGTGCTCATCCCCAGGGATCCCTTTCCTACATTACTTGAAAAACTCAAGTGCGGAACTTATAAACACGACAGAATCAGATGTGCTTTCTTCCACAAACTCAGCTTTTACAAAGCTGCAGAAACTGCAAGTAAACCTTTCAATATATCATCCTTCAGCTTAAAACCAAAGCCTTATTAGCCTGTAACAAAACAATTAACCCTTGACAGGCACTTTTTTTGCCTAAACATGTAATTTCTCACTACAAAATACTTTGTCCTTCGGAGAGGAAAGCCTCCCTACGTTACAGAAGGGCAGGGACCAACACTCTCATGCTTCTCAGCCATGCTCATCTGTACACAACTCAGGCTCTGCATCAGTTATGACTATGAAGGTGTTTACTCTGAAGACAAGTGCTGTTGTGAGTCGTGCTTCTGCATTCTTCTGGTGTGACCCTACCTCAGCATTCAAGAAAACCCTAACATGAACAGCATCCAAGCATGCCACCATCAGTGCGTTTGTCTCCACAGTACCCCTAAGAGCCACAGGGGCTCATGATGTTCGTGAGACAGGAAGAGAGAAAACTTTGGGAGTCTTTAAGGGCTACAAGTTAAACCCATATTGCAAGTCCAAAACAGCTGTTCCACCCAACCTGGCCACTTACTTGGTGGAAGTCATCTTCATCATCAGAGAGACCTTCAAATAGAAAGCCACCTGCAAGAGAAAAGAGAATCAACAGATGCAGAAAACCAGGTGCTGGCAGGAATTAGGCACCAGACAAGAATCCTGTGGAGTCCTTGGCCAAACAGACAGGCTCAGCACCAGCTAACGCACTTGTTAGGACAGAGGCCTCAGCACCAAGAAGTTCACATTCAGCAGGTCAGTCGAAGACAGGTCAGGCCCATCATATGCACAAAACAGAGGCCACAGCACACTGTTAGCAACAGTCATTATTACGCTTGTGTGGGAGAGGCCCTGAGGCTGAAGTAGACCAGGTAAGTCTCACACAGCACAAAAAAAAAGATCTACCAAACCACAGTGTATGCTCCTAGCTCAGGAACCCAAACCTCTCTTCCTTCCAGCCTGGGGATGACTGTGTCAGTACAGCACAGATTTGGCTGCAAATCCTGCAGCACATCATCTCTGCAGGTTTTCCCCACTCATCTGCATGGCTGAAGGTACCTGGCATGTCCCGGTAGGAGCCAGAAGACATGCCTCGGGAGGATGTCTCCGGGGCTGGGAGCGGGGTGCTGCCAGCCACCGAGTGCAGAACAAGGACAATGGCGTTCACAAGCGCGGGGTGGGCTGGGATTAGCCTGGGGAGAAAGGACAGAAGAATGAATCATGTACACAGGGAGACTAAGAAATCAGCAGCTCAACACCAGCAAAGAGCTTATGTCAGGAACGGCAGAGCCATCCTTACTGGCTGCGCCAACACCACCTCAGATACCACCCTGGGCTGTCCAGCAAACACCTCCCCACCTTCCACACAGACAGAGAAGCTGAGGCTCCTTCTTGATCCCATGTTGACCCTCCCATTGTATGCCCTCTGCTGTGAGGAACCAGATTCAGATTTGAACCCGCGATCTGGAGGCGATGATGGCCTTGTCTCCCACTCAACACCCTTTGGTTTAATCCAGCAGTGGAGGCAGATGTCTATTAAAGCACCAGCTCTCTCCGTTCTGCTGCTGAGGAAGAGTTTTGTCCTGAATCTCTGGCCTGGTGTATCTGTACTGGCAGGCAGTAGGAGAACTCTCTCTCTCACCCAGAGAGAAGCGGTCTATACAATAGTGCAACAAAGGCATTGCTCAGTCACCGCACCAGCTTACGTCAACTTACGTGTCCAGCATGTTGGGGTCTGCAAACACTGAAAAGAGATCCTTGTCCTGTAGGACTCCTGGGAGGCACCAGGAAACACGACGAGTAAAAGACAGGATACAAGAAACAGGGGCCAGGCAAACAAGAGCCATGGGGAAAAAACAAAAGGATTGTTTTTCAGGAACTGAGTCACCAGACACCATAAATACTCTATTATTGTTCTCTCTGAAGCCTTTTACATCTTCCTGGAGAGATCCTCGATCGCAGTCACACACCCAAGGGATGGGGCTTTCCCAGCAGATCGCACAGGCTGTGCTCCAGCACAGATGGCTCCACCTTAAGGGCAGGATCAAATCTGGCACCCAGCTTCCCCCAGCCAGCTGCTTGCTGTGAGAGGCTGCCACTACATTCCATATTCCACCTGCCTCTTAGCAACGTGCCAAAAAAGCTAGTAACGTCCCAGGCCCGAACAAGCAAGCTAGATTTAATGATCACTTTTGTAACACTTTGCAGCAGGGGAAAAAAAAAAATCCATCCCCACTGCTCTCCTTTGGGCTCTGTATTCCCTAATCCTTTTGAAGGCAGTGTCCATCCCCAAACACTACCAACAGAGCACAACTCTGACACCTGAGCACGCACTTACTCTTATGCTCCACAAAGGAACCAAAAAAAGATGCTTTCTCCAGAAGAGAACTCTCCCTTCCCCGTGTTAGGAATTAAACACTGACTATCTTTATTTGGCTTTCATCAGATCCTCTGGATCACACCTGCACTCACCCAAAGCAACAGGGTCACTGCTGAGGCCAGGAGTAGCTACAATGATCTGATCCAGTGACTCCTTGTTCCCCAGCATTTTGAAGACCTACGAGAGAAATCAGAGCAGGTCAGCAACATCGCACAACACTGCTCTGCTCAAGGACTCTCTTCACAGGGAGGGGACAGACAAAAGACACCCAGACAGCAAAGTATGATGCCACACTCACTGCATCTCTGTAGGCAGGACTGCTGTGCAGGGCAGTGTGAAGGACTCGGAACTCCCGTACTGCTGCCACCTTATCCACAGGCTCTGAGGGAGGCAAAAATAACAGAACAAAACATGGTTCTACCTCTGTCAGCTTTCCTAGCCATTTTACATGCCACTGGGACTTCCACGCTGCAATAGCGGTGGTAATTCTTTAATTCCCCTGGTTTCGATTGACCAAGAGAGGAAAGGTACAGACTAATGATTGTGAATGCCTCAGTACATTTACCACAGAGTAACAGGGAACTGCACTCTCAGCTTCCAAACATATAAAAATATATAGATATATCCTCCTGCATGTACCAAAGGAGCTGTATTAAACAACTCTAAACTAACCCACCTTATTCTACAGTCAGGCAGACTAGGAACACACACAAGCCTGCTCATCTCTCGAGCTGACTAACCAGTCGCTGTGTTCCCAATTCTCTGGCAACACCCTAGAACTGACCACAGTCAGTTAAGGAAGGGATATTCACTCTCCTCATTCCCTAACTCTCTCATCAGCAAGAAAACATAACACTCATTTCCTGCAGTAAGAGGTGGAGAGTTCCTCCACAAACATATCAATCAATTCCTCCTGCAAACCCCACATCAGCCTCCCAGAAACAAACTGGAAGAGAAGCTGTTCCCCAGTCACAAGGGACCCACAAACACATCCCGAGGAGATCTAAGCAGTAACCCACACCGTCTCCTCCTCCTCACCTGGCTTCTGATCAGGCTCAGGCCAGGACTTGCGCAGGACATGAACAGTGGAGCCGGACTGGATGCCATAAAAATCAAGCGTCTGGTCATCCCTCAGCTTACGGCCACAGTAGATGAGATCTAGGAGAGAGAAACAGCTTTAGATAAACATCTATGGCACACTCAGAAAGGGCCCAGGGTCTTAAAGTGAGGGCTGCCTGGAGGTTATTGTTCCACATGTCGCTGCTTCATCTGGTCAGAGCACAGGGACTCTGTAACACAGGGAAGTTATGGAGCTGAGAATCACTGAACGCGATTTTTACCACATCCTTTAGAAGGGCCGACCTCTCTCATGATTCTCATAAGAGATCTCCCAAGGGCACATTGGTGTTAGCACGTCAAAAGACATTTTAACAAGGCACTGACACTGCAGGAGCACCGGGATCCTAAGCAAACACAGAACAAACTATCAAAATCCCGAGGTACTAAGACTGCTGCAGCGTAGCAGTGTCCCTGGAGCAAGCTTTGAGCCCCCACACCGTGCCATCCGGTTGTACCAAGTCTCCCCACCAACCCAAAAATCACTAGTCATAGGATGTTCGTGTCCTGGCCACAGCAAGGGGAGGAAGAGGAGGGAGAGGGTGGCCCCAAGTGGCAGGACTTTGACACGACCCACGCAGGCACCTACCGATGAGCTCAGGGTCTGGTACTGACTCCTGCAGTTTGCCGGTGATGAGCTGCTTGAGGTACGAGATGCTGCACCCACCGAGCGGGCATTCTCCCAGCTCTGTCTCCGGCAATCGTAAGATGGATTTGGGAGCCAGCGGCTGATCCGCCAGCTTCACCGCGATGTGCCACTCCGGCAGGGACATCTGAGCCTTTTCCCTGAACAGAGCCAAGCCAACCTAAGACCCACAAAGCTCTGAAGAGGGAGAAAAACAAATCAAAGTGAGAATCTTCCCGAACCAGGCAATAAATCCTTATAAATTCGCCAGGTCAACCTTTGCTGGGAAGCACACAGGAAGCTGACAGGAGGCCTGACCAACACGCAGCCGTGCTTTTAGGTTCCTACCTCAGTCTTAAGCCATATCTGAAGCTACAGGGAAGGCAGGAACACCC